CAGAGCACCAGGCCTGGCTGTTTCGGAACCAGAATGCCACCCATGGGAGAGACCCCCAGGGAATTCTGAGCTCTGGGCTGCATCTTGGCCCGGCCTGACTGTTGCACCCATGCGGGGAGTGAACCAACATGCGGAAAATCTGTTTCCTTCCGTCTTTCCCCCTCTCTCTGCCACTCTATTTTTGAAACAAATAAACTCTTAAAAATAAAAACGTAAAAAGAAGAAGAAATAGCACAAAGCAGAGTTGTGCTGCTCTAAGGCACGGTGGAATTGTACGAAGCCGCACTCTATCTGTTGGCTGGCACATCTTGGTGGAGATTATACTACTGTGTTTATGCAGGAAAAATATATAAAGAAATGTAGCAAATGACAGCATTCACTGTCATCATCATCACCTTGGCCGTCCGTGATGGAGTACACAAATCGTTTCCAAATCATTACTTTTTTTTTCAATAATGTCTGACTTTTTGAGTCACGTCACTGGTGTGTTTGCTCCCATTTTCTGGGTCACTGCCCCTGCCTAAGGAAAGGGTCTCACCTGTATCAGTTCCCTTCCCTATCAGTTGTGGCTCAAAGGGATCCACAAATGTATATTGCATGGATTAAGACTACTTATGATGTCTTAGCGACATCGGTCATATTAAATAACAAATAACATTATTTTTTTCTTGCAAGAACTCATGTTCATCGCAAAGGAGAGTAGAAAACGCCAATGAACAAAAGAATGAACAGCAAATTTTCTTTTCCCGCAATTCAGAAAAGCACAAAACACCTGTTGGCAGTTTGATGTAAGTCGGGATCTTTTGCTTGGAGATGGTCTGGCCTCACACATAGAACGTAGAATTCTTCCCGTGTGCCCATGCGGGTCTACCCCACTTCAGGACCTGCTCTACTGCTCGTAATGGAATCTGAAAAACTTTTGTGTGTGTCACGAACTGCCACTCTGCAACATGTTTTTACGCTGTGGTTGAACCATAATTGAATTTCCTTGCATTTTTTTCCATCATTATAAACAATGCCATTGTAGATAAGCCCACAGTGTAATTCAAAAGGCACACAGCATGATGATGCTTTTGATGTGGGTTTCCAAACTGCTCTTGCACAATGGTTATATTCATTTAAATATTTCCAAGTGAGCCGTACCAACAACGGGTTCGTCAGTCCCGCTGTGTCTTCAATGAGATCCTGAAAACAAAGCGTGCGATCCCATGCTTGCTCAAGATGCGTTTATTCAGTTCCCTTCCATCTTTGTTCTTCTTGTGGGACAGAGATCCACTTGTACACTCAAGCCTGCCCCTGCTTTGGTGGCCTTCAAAGTACTTGGGGTGACAGATCTTTCTCATTTGTTTTCGCTGAGTCACTCACTAAAAGGGACATGGACCGCCGCATCCCAGGTCTTAACAGAACACTGTCGAAGTAAGCCCAGTGGGTGACGATGGAACGAGACAGGGCTGAGTTGATTTTCTTAGCCGGGTGTCCACAGCTGAGATTCTTATTTTCCCAAGTGGAAAAAAAACATTCCAGATCCCCGACTGACAGTCTCTCAGCAGCATGCAGAGTGCCTTAGAAAAGTGCAACTGCAACACCCTGCTCAACCACGTTCACGGGATCCCCAATACCAGGCCTGAGGGGAGCTAACTTTCCCCTGGCTTGCACAGCTCCAAAAGGTTAAAAAGAAGCGAGCTATTTTTAGTGCAAATCATCCCAATCATAGCAAAAGAATACTAACTGCAGACAGCAGAAGGCTTTTTTTCTTTTTTTCTTTTTTAAAGAAAACCTTGCAAAGTAAAGAGACTGGAAGATCAAAGAGTTTCTAATTAAGATTCCAGCCACCCCACCTCACATCCCTTCCTAAGGGAACCGTGTGTCCACAACAGGGATAATTGTATTTTTTTTTTAAAGATTTATTTATTTATTGGAAAGTCAGAAATACAGAGAGGAGGAGAGACAGAGAGGAAGATCTTCTGTCTGATGATTCACTCCCCAAGTGAATGCAATGGCCAATCCGATGCTATGCCAATCCGAAGCCAGGATCCAGGAACTTCTTCCGGTCTCCCACACAGGTGCAGGGTCCCAAGGCTTTGGGCCATCCTCGACTGCTTTCCCAGGCCACAGGCAGGGAGCTGGATGGGAAGTGGAGCTGCTGGGATTAGAACCGGCGCCCATATGGGATCCTGGTGCATTTAAGGCGAGGACTTTAGCCATCATGCTGAGCCCAGATAATTGTATTTTCTGGACGTCTTGGGGAAGAGGAAGCCTAAAAAGAACCTGGTCCCCAAAACTTGCATAAGACCCCCAGCCTTACACAGCACAAAACAGAGACATGCAAAATCTCACTCAGCTCACTGGAGAGCAAAGTGCAGGGCACGGCATCCCTGGCACACAGGCTCGCAGGTGTGGCTGTGTTCACTGGCTTGGGCATCTGTCTAGATCAGAGCTTTCTGTTCTGCCCATTCAAAAAATGGCCCCAAATTGACTCTTTAGTTCAATTTCTCGCCTATTTATTGTGCTTCTGAAGAATTTGAAAAGAAAAATGTATATTAGAAATATATTCCTGAGCCTGGCGCGGTGACCTAGTGGCTGAAATCCTCACCTTGGACAAACCAGGATCTCATATGGTCGCCGGTTCTAATCCCGGCAGCCCAGCTTCCCATCCAGCTCCCTGCTTGTGGCCTGAGAAAGCAATCAGGGATGGCCTAAAGTCTTGGAATCCTGCACCTGCGTGGGAGGCCCAGAAGAAGCTATGGGCTCCTGGTTTTGGATCAGCTCAGTGCTGGCCATTGTGCTCACTTGGGGAGTGAACCAGCGGATAGAAGATCTTCCTCTCTGTATCTTCTGCATGTAAATCTGCTTTTCCAATAAAAATTTAAAATCAGTCAATCAATCAATCTATCTGTGATGTTTTGGTTTTCAGGCATTTGGTTTTTCATATTTTTATATTAATTTATCAATTTGAAAGGCAGAAAGAGATGGAAACAGAGTCTGAGATATTTTTGTTACCTGCCATTCCACTCCCTAACTGACAGGGTGAGGCTGGGGTGCAGCTAGGAACCAGAAACTCCCCCATCTTCTATGAGGGCGGCAGGGACTTGAGCACTTGGGCCTCCACCTGCTGCTTCCCTGGGTGCATGGTAGCAGGAAGCTGGAATCAAAAACCGAGTTGGGACACAAATGCGGGCCCCATGATGTGAATATGGGTGTCCCGAGAGGCTGCCACCACCCCCAGCACTCATCCATGGACACCATGGCTTTGGATTCCTTTGCTAATTAACCAGCGCAACAGAAGCCCCAAGCTTCCTTCCAGCAGGGGTGTGGAGAAGCAGCAAGCCTGCCGCTGAGCACATCTGCTGTCCTTTTCATTGCTGTCGCTTAGCCTGTTGCCTCCCTTCACTGCCAGGACCCACCAGTTCAAGAGTGGTTAGTAATCTGAGGCTGACGATAGAAGTTTCTTGTAACAAACACCTAGCAGCAACAGGCTGCTTCATTTCCTGTGGCTCTAAGAACTCATGGCTTCTGGGGGCAGTCTGGGTTCAGCTGAACAGTGAATATTTAGCACTGGGGTATTCCCTCTTGGGGACAGCCATGGTGGTATACTTAAAGCCATTGCTGCTAATGCCAGCATCCCATGTTCAAGTCCTGGTGATGCACCAGAAAGGCAGCAGATAATGGCTCAAGCCTGGGTCCTTAGATGGGGGCTCCTGGCTCCTGGCTATGACCTGGTTTATCTCTTACTATCGTGGACATTTTGGGGGTGAACCAGCAAATGGAAGTCTCTTTCTTTCTCTCTCATCCTTCCCTGCTCTCACTCTAATTTTGAAACAAATAAATTCCTATATATTTGTTCATCTCTACTATTGAAATGTAAAGTCACTTACCCTGCTATTGAAACTCAACTCTTGGTTATCAACACCATTTCCTTGTTCATGTTAGTTTCCTTTGACAGGGAAGATGAACTGGTAATTTACAAGACCTCACAACTCTCAGAAATGCCTTCTATTGATCGAGCTTCTGTCTTGTAGACTTCTCATGCTGTCCTGGCCATTGGTCTCATGGGAATTATTTACAGTAAATTTAGTAAGGTTGATAATCCTCTCCCAATTATGATAAGCATATGAGATCTCCAGCAATTTACCAGTAAGATCTTGTCTGCTGCTGACACACATAGGCCAGTGTGCTTAGCCGATGTCTGCTGAGCAGGTTTCTTCGCTTTAGAATTCCACGCCAGGGACAGTCAGTTCCCGAGCAGTTCAGCACGCCCAGGTGACACACGTGAGCCGCTCAAGTGGGTTTTAACATTTCTTCACCTGATCAAACACAGCCATCTTTGAGAAAGTACTGAATGTGCTGAAAACAAGCTGAGGAACTCAAGGCCACTCCATGTGAAGTAACATTATCCTCACACCAGCCGTGGCTTCCTTTATTTCAGTAAAAGGGTTGATGAGTCCCTGGGAAAGATATAAATCATGTAACTGCTTTTGCTCACCAAGACCAAGGGTAACAGAAAAAACAGCATCATGGCTTACGCTCTTCTCTGGTGCAGCAACACACAGCTGCTGCACATGGCCTTCTGGGATGTTTGACCATGCCTGGGATGACTGCAGGATGGGCTGTCGCGGGTTGGCTGCAGCCGTATGATGCCTTTCATTACAGTGTGTGACCTCAGCATTCCTCAGGGCTCTACTGTGGGTTGCAAGTGTCCACCCCGACCCGCCCTGCACCATGGGACAGTAGAAGAGTTTTCATAGACGAGGAGTGGAAAAAGACAGTCAAGAGTCACCACGAACCACGCCACCTCCTTTATTAACTGCTTCACCAAGGCCGAGCATCGCTGAACACATGGGAGTTCCAGGCTCCTGGAAACCCATTGCTTTGAAAGTCCCAGCAACACACTGTACTATGCGGCACACTCCGCAGCATTCCACGGGGTAGAAAGTCCCTGTGCCAACAGGGTCCTTTGTCTCTTCAATCCTTAGGCTTCCTGAGCCAGGAGGCGCCATGTACCACGTGTTGTACAATTCGCTGGCTCGGTCCCTCTGTGTTTCAAGTGTACCTCACCTTATCTGTGGCCAGAGCCAGCCTGCGGATGTTGGAGATGCAACCGGCTGCAGCCTCCTGGAGGTCCTGGTCAGGAGAACCTATCATGTCCAACAGCAGCTGTGGAACACAGAGGAAAACCACCCAACCCGTCAATCATGGCATATGTACATGTAAATGGTACCAAATTAGATCCAGGTCTTAAAGTGGAATGAGGGAAGTGTGTGATATTTCCCAGACTGTGCAGGAGACTGCCTCCAGTCTCCTTGGGTCACAGGTCCTGGCCAGGCTGGACCCCCCAGCCCCAATCCCCCCAGTGCCCATGCTCACACTTTGCTTCTGATGTTTTGTCATTTCCTCATTCCACATTTTCACCTGCAATCTCCCTGAAAAGAGTGTCTCCTGTAGCAGCCTTCTCATCCTGGCCTCCAGTCTACAGGCCCGTGTGCTGCTGCCTTCATAACCCATCCCCTCCATCATTCTCCTCCTGACACATATCCAGGAAATCCGTAATGGTCCCCTTGGCCAGTCACTGAGCCCTGCAATGCTGAGGTCAGGCTCTGCTGGATTCTCATCAGGGCCTATAAGCTACAGATGCTTCTCTCCACTCAGGTCACTGTTGACTCTTCTCAACACTTCATTCAAATTGTCTTCCTTCTTCTCCAATCTCTCCCTCCTTCCTGCAGCCTCCACCCTCAGAAGACATCCTATGAGGGCTCCTTCCTGAATCCGATAGAAGCCATTAGATACGATCTATATCAATCCAAGCACAAGCCCACCAGCATTGAGCACACACTTCTTCCTTCCAGACACCATGAGGGTCTCTCTCTTCCTCCCTCTGCCTGTAATCTCGTTCAGGCTCCTGCTCCTGGAGGCATGCTACTCCCCAACACTCCCCCTTTCTACTTTAACCTCTCCCTCGCAATGGGTCTTCTCTATCACCATTTTAAATACACATCTTTTCCTATATATATTTTTAAAGACACAAAACAACTATTCCCTGTGGTCAATAGCTCCCATGTTGCCAGGAGCAACGGAGACCTTTGAAAAAGCCATTTGACAGAGAGAGAGACAGGGAGAGGGAGAAGCTGAGGGAGATGAGTCCAGGAGCTGGGCACTCTATGGAGTCTCCCATTACTTGTGCAGCAGCAGGATGTGGGAGTCAGGAGCCAAACCCAGGCTCTCTGATGTGGCACACATGCCCGCTGGGCAGGGACACCTTGGAGTTCTCTCACCGACCTGTAACAGCATGCTACTGTAGCCGGCTTTGCACATCATCCTCCCCTATCCATTTATTCTCAGTTTCAGGCTTTCGTTAGTGGCCAACTCCTTAGGACAATGCCCTCCTCCACTTCTACTTTGGTCCTTCTGCCTTGCCCATGCCTCTCACTCCCTGATTTCATGCATCATTTACATGGATCTGTCTTCAACGTCTGTGTCTGTGCCCAGGAGCCTCCTCTGGGGTGTCGGTGCTGCTCAGACTTCTCCGCAGCCGACTCATTCTCAACTGGTTTTTGTCTAAACATGAGTTCCTCCCAGCAACAGACACACATTCAATTGCTCACTCAACCCCCACCTACCCTATTCCTTCCACTACTCGTCATATCTTTTTTTTTTTTAAAAAAAAGATTTATTTTTATTGCAAAGTCAGATATAATGAGAGGAGGAGAGACAGAGAGAAAGATCTTCTGTCCAATGATTCACTCCCCAAGTGAATGCAATGGCCAGAGCTGTGCCAATCCAAAGCAGGAAGCCAGGAACTTTCTCCAGGTCTCCAACGTGGCAGGGTCCCATGGCTTTGGGCTGTCCTCGACTGCTTTCCCAGGCCACAAGCAGGGAGCAGGATGGGAAGTGGAGCAGCTGGGACTCTAACTAGCGCCCATATGGGATCCTGGCATATTCAAGGGGAGGAGTTTAGCCGCTAGGCCACCACTCCAGGCCTTACTCGTCATATCTTGAAGCTTAGCTGCCCCCGTGCCTCCCACGGGCATCCACCTGGCTGCCCCCACACCTCCCATGGGCCCATAACTTAGCTGCCCCCATGCCTCCCACAGGTACTCCCTCAGAGCCTATACCACCTGTCCACCATCCTTGACTACATTCAACGTTTACACACCATGCAGAGCCATTGCCTCAATTGGAACCATTGCCTCAATTGTGACATTCACCCATGATGGGCAGAAGCCTAGAGAAACCAAAGTGGCTCTCAGTGTCCTGAGACTGCAGAGTGTGCAGAACTCTGTGGATTCCACATCTGCAATTCTGTCAACTGAAAAATGGAAAATACCAGGGAAAATCCTGCATCCCTGCTCAACATGGACAGACTTCTCGAGTTTACGCCCTAAACCACGTGACTCCACAACTGTTTTTATAGCACTTACATTGTATTGGGTGTCCAAAAGAGTCCTGGAGTGACCTGAAGGACACAGGAGGATACGGGCAGCTTTCATCACAGAGTGGTTTTCTCTGGCATCAGGCAGCCCTGGTCTGGTGTGGGACGGAGGAGGCGAACTGCAGAGCTGCAGTGCGTCTGAGCAGTCCTGTGGTCCACAGTGGACTGGGTGCGGGAGGGAGGAGGGAGGGGGATTCTGCTCAGCTGGAAGGTCTGGGAGGGGAGAAGCTCAGCCAGGCAGCAAGGGAGTTCCGATGGGATGGAAGCACAGGAAAATGGTGGGAAACGGGGCACGGGGAGCTCAGAGCACTTGGAATTTACGATTTCATAACGTTGTTTTGAGTACTGGCAGTTCCAGGGTGTGACCATAGGAATGTAGGTCAATATACAACTGTTACGCATTTTTATACACACACACACACACACACACACAGAGTCTTTCTGCCCAGAAGATGAAATAATGGGAAAAATCACAGGCAGGAGGAAAGGAGGAACAGGGTAGCCAGTGCTTTTTGGTTATCCAAACACATGGCTTCCATCTTCTATGTCAACTCGCACTCCATGCTTCTCTTAGCTTGCAACTGTTAAAACTCATGATCAACAGCTCAATATTTTAATCAACCCTTTCATCATTTTAGTATCTCACCTTACTACAGAGAACATTTTAAAAGCAAGTGTCATTTCATGAACTTGGGACCACTTCTTCTTTTAAAAAAAGACTTATGTATTTATTTGAAAGGCAGAGTTAAGAGAGAAACAGAAGTTTTCTATCCACGAATTCACTCTTCAAATGGCTGCAACAGTGCAAATGGCTAGGCCAGTCCAAAGCCAGGAGTTTCTTTCAGGTCTCCCATATGGGTATAGGGTCCCAACCACTTGAACCATCTTTCACTGCTTTCCCAGGCCATTAGCAGGGAGCTGGATGGAAGTGGAGCAGCCGGGACTCAAGCTGGTATCTGTACGGGATGACAGCACTACAGGTAGCATCTTTACCTGCGAAGCCATTGCACCAATCCCAAGACCATCTCTTCTAAATACACACAGATGCTGTGCCAGCAACGGTTCACCTCAATTTTTTTAAAAAAGATTTATTTATTTTCATTGGAAAGGCGGATATACAGAGAGGAGAGACAGAGAGGAAGATCTTCCGTCCGATGATTCACTCCCCAAGTGACCACAACGGCCGGTGCTGCGCCGATCCGAAGCTGGGGCAACCTTTTCCGGGTCACCCACGTGGGTGCAGGGTCCCAAGGCTTTGGGCCATCTTCAACTGCCTTCCCAGGCCACCAGCAGGAAGCTGGATGGGAAGTGGAGCTGCCGGGATTAGAACCGGCGCCCGTATGGGATCCCGGTGTGTTCAAGGCAAAGACTTTCGCTGCTAGGCCACCTCGCCGGGCCCTACCTCAATTTTTTAACTTTGTGATTGTTCAGAACAGACAGGTCCTCAGTACTGCCCTTGGCGTTTTGCATTTGGAGCCTGTCCCAGGCCAGCCCAGTGCGGTTTGATTCTCACTGGCGACACTGGGGCAGTGGCAGTGGGTGCAGCTCTCCAGGGCAAACCTTGGAGACCTCATGGTGTGCTGTGCCACTTAGCCATGGCACATGGAACTTGGGTTCCCAGCGGCTTGAACAGGATGAAACTGCAATGTCAGGTGGAGGAGTACAGATGTGCTCAGGCTGCTCCCTCCATGCCTCATCCTCACACCAGAGCTTGGACCGATGTGCCAGCAGCCATCATGGCACCCTGCATGCTCCATGCCGAGGGCTGGCTGCAAACCTGCTGGTTTGGCTCCCCAAGAGGGACCCTCACTCGAGAGCCTGATACAAGTGACTCTTCACTCAGAAGAATCTCTTCATGTCCTCCCACCTTCGTTTTTGTTTTTTTTTTTTTACACTCAATGCTGCTTTCTTATCTTTGAAGGATCTCTTCCAAGGAGACAAAATACACCAGCCAATTTATTGGCAAAGTATATAATCCCTAGAGGATTTCATAAAGTTTCTAGTAACTTGCTTTTACAGCCATTCCCTGCCTTCACCACCACCACCATCTTTTTTCCTAGGTAGGTGATTCCGAAGCAGATCACACCTGTTAAGCACCTGGCTTTAAAAAAAAACACAGCATCTGACTTACCAGTAAGAACAAATCTTTACACACACACACACACACACACACACACACACACACAGTGAAACACAGCATCAGAACTCTCTTGCCAACCTCAGTCACACTAACAGACACCTTTTTTCACCCTAGTGGCTTACCTATTATACCTATTATGGCTATTATTATCACGGTGAATTCATGCCAGTTAGCTGCAGACCCTGCTCTGCCTGCGATACCATGCCGCATTACAAGCTTGATTTCCATAAGCAAATGAGATCTGGAAGCAGCGAAGTCTCCACGCGCCCCGTAGTTGTCACTCGGCTAAGTGTAGGACAGCCCATTAGACACAGCACTTCTCTTCTCACAGGGCCACTTGCCAAACCTCTGCTCACCTCTCTGACAGCTTTAGTCCTTGTTATTTCTTAAATCTGAGAAGAGGTGAACATAGAGACTTCACTGTTTGAGACCCTTACCTTTGGTCATGCAGCTCTCCTTTCTGTCTAGATGTCAAGGTCAAGCAGCCATCAGTGATGATGCTGTGGGTGTTGGGATCTCAGCCTTTTGGGCTTCCATTCCCGTTTCTTCTACTTGCTGGCAGGTCCCTGAGCCTCCTGAACCTGACCT